TGTCACAATCTCCTGCAGGGACAGAACGTTCAGGTGCTCGTGGGCTGTGTCAGCCCATCACCAACTCCCTCTTGCTCCTGATGCATTGGGATTTTAGCTTCTGTATTTTTCATGTCTCTGTAACCTTGGAATTCTTTAGTGGATAACTCCAGACTCCAAATACAGTGCTAAACTACAGTTCCAAACTACTGCTCTCCCATTTTTACACAAAACAATTCCTCTGCAGCCCCCAAACTCAAGGACACCTCACTGTGCCAGGCCCCAAGAGATGGAAACAACAGAGAATCGGGGGGAGCAAACTTGGAGTCAATGACTGCATTGGCTGCAGCTGCAATTGGAGAATTCACCCCCCAATGTGCAAATGGATAAAACTTATGAAGAACGAAAAATGTGTGACCAATGGTTCATTCTGGGTGTAGCCCCTGGTGGGCTGGGACTGCCCGGAATGTACCTGAAAGCCCTGAAATAAATTTGAAAAGCCCCTGCTTTTTATTTTCTGAATTTTGTCCAGCCTTTGTTTCAGGTAAACCAGATTTAGGCATCACCCCGATGTCCCCACAGCTCCCACCTGGTGGCATCTCTCACCTTGTGCACCCAGTCCTTGCACTCGGGGTCCTCCATGCATTTATCCAGCGCGTGGGGCGAGAGGACCAGCACAAAGTTCCGTGCGCTCAGGACGCTCTGGATCAGCTTGTCCTCGAATTTCCCCGCCTCCAGCTTCTCCACGTCGATGAACACGCTGAAGCCGTGGAGCTGCAGGTGCACCTTCAGCAGGCTGGTGGCAAGAGGGGACAGCACTGTGAGAAGAGGCTTCACGGGCTGTCCCACAGCGTGGGCTGAGACAGGGGAGAGGGGAATGAGGTGCCAGCTCCAGCCCAGAACACGAGGAGCTGACATTGACTCCCCCACAAGCATGAGGAAAGGGTCAGTCAGTGCCCCAGAGGGACAGGGGGACAGTGCCAGGACAGAGAATCACCCCATCCACCGTACAGGTTATGCCACGTGCTGTCCCCGTTTTTCCTGCAGCTTTTGGCAGACTCTCCCTCCTCCCCATTCCACATTTCTCCCCACAACTGACCCCTCTGGGCATCACCATTTCCTGCAGGACTCACCTGGCCAGCTGCGAGCCGGTGCTCCGGCGGTAGCTGATGAACACATCGGTGCCATTGGACGCCGTTTGCAGCGTGATGGGGGAGTGAAGCGTCTCTGGGCAGCACAAAAAAACCCTCCAGGTGTTAAAAACCACCCACCAGCTCACCCCAAACACCCCTGAGCGCCCCTCCATCCCCACCAGGACCCACCCCTGGCCGCGGTGAGGATGCGGACGCGGTGGAAGCCGGTGTGGACGTGGCAGTCGTCCTGCAGCTGCTGCTCCGTGACGCGGTGCAGGAAGTTGCGGTCGATGCCGCAGGTGAGCAGGTTGTAGGTGTACTGCCGGAATTTGGGGTCGATGCCCCCCAGCCAGTCGGCCAGGTTGCTGCGGTCACACGTGGAGTAGTCGGCGAAGGTCTTGAGCTCCGTCAGCTCGCGGAAGAACCTGGTGGAGATATGTGGAGGTGGGGAAAAGCGGAGTGGAGGGCAGCACTCAGAGACATGGGGGAGCTGCACAGCTTCTGTCTGCTCAGGAGGGAGTGCAGCTCCGTGCTGGGGTGAGGGATGAGCTGCAGGGACAGGGAACAGAGGAACAGCAGCTCCTTGCACCTCTGTGTCCCAAGCTAAGGGTGAGTTCCCACCTTTCTGTGTGACTTGTAGGATCCCACCTGCCCTGTGCCCTGTGCCTTGCCCCATCCCACCCCTCTGMCATGTGCTGGGATTTCAGAAATCCCTCTGGGGCTGMCAAGTGCAGTGGAAAAGCCCTGGCAGTCCAGGTTTTGCATTTGGAGGATCTCCATCCTTGTTTTTGCAGGAAGGGGAGGGCAGAGACCTCGTCCCTGGCTCTGCCCCTGCAGTGATGGCCGTGAGAGAGTCCAGTGTGCCCTGCTGGTGGTCCCACCTTTTCCGAGTGATGCTGGAGTCCATCCCCAAATCCTTCTGCAGCTCCTGCTCTGTCAACCTCAGGAGAATGTCCCCATCAACCTGGTGATCCTGCCAAGAGAAATCCGGGCTGGAAAGGTCCCCAAGTGAGATGCTTACACCTCTGCTGCAAGATGGGACAGAGGTGTCCACCCAGGTGACCCTCCCCAGGGCACGCAGCCCTACCAGGAATCTCTGGCAGTATTTGTTGAACCCGATCTGCTGCAGCCATGTCTGCACCTCGCAGGACTTCCAGTTGGGAACGGTGGGCAGGATGCGCCGAGGAACCTCCTCCCCTATCAGGCGCAGCACCTTTTTGGCTAGTGAGGAGGTGGTGCTGCTGGTGGAGTAGCACACAATCCTCTTCAGGCTCTGCGTCGCCCCAATCTCACTGAAGATCTGGGGACACCAAGGGAGGAGGCGTCACTTTGCTTTCCCTCATCCTCCTCCCAACAATCAGGTGAGGAGAAAAGTGGTGAGCTCACAAAAGACACCAAAACGCGCCCGTGGCTCCCCTTCCCTTCAGCACCACCTTCCTCCAGGCCAACCTACCCTTTACCTGTGTTTTCTTCTGTGTGGCTTTGATGGTGGCCTCGGTGCAGAGGTAGAAGGCGGCGATGCACTGAGCCTCCAGCCGGGAGCTGTCCAGCAGCGGCACCAGGCGCTGCAGATCCTGCGCCGTCCGGCCCTGGACGTTGTCGCTGCTGCCCAGCATCTCGCGGGCGAAGCGCTCCGGGTCCAGCGAGGCAATGAAGGGCTCCACCAGCGCCAGCGTGCCCGAGCGCTCCACCTCCTTCTCAATCTCCTTGTTGGTGGCCAGCACGGTGATGGCCAGGCAGGCGTGCAGCCGGATCAGCTCGTCGTCCCTGGAGAACACCAGCGGGAAAAGCCACTCGGCCGCTTTCTTCTCGATCATCAGGCGCTGGTTGGCGTGGCCACCGTACATGGCGCAGTTGGCCAGGGCCATGGCGCAGTGGCGCAGCACGGCGGGGTCTGTCCAGCGGCACCAGTACAGCACGGTGTCCAGGCCCCCGTCGGAGATGAGCTGCGAGCAGGTCTCCTCCGTGTGTTTGAACATGTGCTCCAGGATGCCCGAGAGGCTCCGGGCAAGCTGAGGGATGTCCCGCTCCTTGGCCAAGTTGAGGATGACGCCCAGACCGACCCGGGCGAGCCGGTCCCTGCGGGGAGGAGAGGAGGGTGAGGTGGACGTGCAGGGAGTGAGGACAATGACCAGTGTGAACTGCCAAATGCCTTGGTGCCTTTTGTCCCAGGAGAACTCCCTGTGGGACACAATATGCACCAGGCTGCTGCTGGAAGAACCTGATGGAAGAGCTGTGATGAGACAGGACAGGGGATGGTTTTCCCCCTGTGGGGGAAAAGGTGGCCCCACAAGCCCTGAATCTGAAACTCAGCCAATTATTGTGTATGACTGAGTCCTGGGAAAAGAAAGGGAGTGTTAACAACCTACATAGAAGAAGAAGAATGCCGCATCTTTAGCTACTGTTGAGAAAAGGAGATTAGAGTATAAAATTGATAATGCAGGTAGCTAGAAATTATAAACATTACTAATACTGTAGCTTTTGCAAACTCACCAATTATGTTCTGATTACTAATTAAACAGTTATCTCTTAACCAATGTATGTTCGACACAAATGTATACTTTAGTTGCTAAAGTAGATAAAAGAGGCTTGTCCCACAATAAAGTTCTTCCTTCCTTCTTTCTCTCTTTTTTTTTTCACCTACTTTTGTGTGTTTTGTATCTATTATTTTATGTCGCTGTTTAGCCAGCAGCGACACATCCCCCTCCCCCCCAGTGCTGCACAGCCCAGGATCCCCTCGCTGGATGCCCTCATGCTGGAGTAGGACATTCAAGGCAATCAAGCAGTGAATGCAGGGCTGGAAATGGCTCTGGCCTTGGGACCCCTGTGCTTAAAATGACCCCTGAATGGGGCTGTGCCTTGAAAACACAGTGGGGAAGGGGGAAAGCAGGATCATGGAATGGTTTGGGTTGGAAGGGACCTAAAAACTCACCCAGGTCCAACGCCTTGCCACAGGCAGGGACAGCTTCCACTRGCCCAGGYTGCTCCAAGCCCCATCCAGCCTGGCTTTGGACACTGCCAGGGATGGGGCAGCCTCACCACCCTCTGAGATGAGCTCTTGGCTGTGCTGCCAGSAGCTTTCCTGTGCTGYCTGAGCATTCCTGCCCTCAGCAGTGGCCATTTGGTGCCGTGATGGAGTTTGTGAGGCAGCCCTGGTACCAGTGCCCCGTGCCCCACTGCTCGTGAGGGCGGTGGCACGCTCGGTCCCCAGCGACAGTGGGGTGATGGCACGCCAGCCTCTATGCTGGCAGGCAGGAAGGACATTTCTGGGAAGCCTGTGACCCACAGGGCTCTCACTGACCTTGGGGTGGGTTTGACAGGAAATGTTGTGGAGAGCCCTGGGGAAAGAAAAAAATTAAAAAAAAGTCCCTGAGCCTGGGTCTGGCTGCAAGCCCGGGCTCAGCCGTGGAGCTGGATGACAAACACGGCCCCAACAGGTCCCTGCAGCTGCAGATGGAGCCAGGACCTGGCCAGCTCCCAGCCAAACACCCCACAGACTGGGGGAGTTCTGTGAGTGAGAGGCTGGSACCCCACAGGGAACCCCAYACCCCACACCCCACACCTCCCTGTGGTGGCTCAGAAGTTGTTGGAAGCTCCAACACTCCATGAGCTGCCCCTGGAGTGGAGACAGCAACTCCAGCGAACCCTTTCCCATGCTAAGAAGCCGAGTGCCGAATGCAGACGGTGCCAGTGATGCTTCCTGGGATTAAATTCCACCCTAATGGGCTTTCCTGATTTAGCTGCCGCTTATTTTTGCCTGCAGCAAGGCCTGGGCAATGAGTCCCCAACCTTCAGTGAGGGACATGCCCCAGGAAGCCGGAACAACGCTTTGGCCAGGCCCCTCTGAGTGCTGCCCAGAGCCCTGGCAGGGCTCAGCAGGGCTGGGGGGCTCCGAGGGGGGAGTGCAGCTGACAGGGGGAGTTTGGGGTGCTGGCAGGGTGAGCTGTGCGCGGGTGATTTGGATGTGTCGGGTGCCACGTGTGCACACACAACACACACTCAGGAACACACACACACACACTCAGGAACACACACACACACGCTGCCAATCCCATTGTGCTCTGACACAGACATCCCAGCACCTCTCACCTGTCCCGGATCTGAGCTAGGGGATGAGGGCTGCTGACCAGCTGACCCCTCCTTACGGCCTCATTGCAGCCCTGGTTAGCAGCAGGAAGGCTCTGGGAAGTGGCTTTGTCCTCCTCCTCCTCCTCCTCCTCCTCTTCCTGCTGCAGTTATGGCTAAAGGGGAGCCACATCTTGTGCTTTTTGGGTCAGGTGCTCTGGCTCAGCCAAACTGACTCAGCTCAGCCGGCTGAAGGGGGCTCAGGAGGACACCCCAGTTCTCCTCAGCATCCCAGAGCTGGGGCTGGTTCTCCTCCCTCCTGCTGCTGGGGAAGGGAGCAGCAGCTCGTGGTCATTGCCTGGGCGTGAGTCAGGGACCCACTGCACAAGTGTGAGGATCCGAGGGGAATCGTGCACCAGGAGCACCCAGATCAGGGAAATTTGGAGGCTGTGATGGGGGAGGCCAGGTTGGATGGAGCTTGAAGCAACTTGGACTTTGGGAGGTGTCCCTGCCCGTGGCTGAGAGTTGAGCTGAGGGCTTTAATGTCCCTTTGAACCCATTGTGGCGGTGCCCGGGGCGCTGGGAAGGGCTGTGCCCGCCAGGGTGGGGGGCTCTTCACACACTCACCGGTTTTCTGCCACCAGGATCTGCTCCAGGAGTTTCCCCGCCTGGCACTTGACCTCCAGCTCGGCGGTGTAGAGCAGGTGCAGCAGCAGGTCCAGGCCCCCCTCCAGGCGGATCACATCGCACAGCACCTTGGCCACGTCCCTGCCCACGGCCGGCATGGCCCAGGCCTCCTCCACCAGCCGGAACACCTCGGACAGGGCTGCCCGCAGCCCCTCGGGGGTGGCCGCCTGCGTGGCGTGGGCGATGGAGCGGCGGAGCACGGGCAGGACCCGCTCCAGCGCCTCCCGCACCTCGGTGCCCACCCCGGGGGAGACCCCGTCGTGCCCCGGGCCGCTGCCCCCGCTCGCCCAGCCGCTCGCCCGGCTCACACACTCGGGCACCGCCAGCCGCTCCGCGCTCGCCATGGCCAGGGACCGGCCCAGGGTGTGCAGCGACAGCAGCAGGGCGAGCATCGGCGGCTGCTACCGCGGCATCCCCGCTCCCCTCGGCGCCCGCGGGGATGCGGGTGGCCGGGCGGGGGGCACGGGATGGGGGGATGCGCCCCGCTGGCCCCTCCGCCCTGTCGGGATGCGGAGCTGCGAGCGGAGCGGGATCCGCCTTCCCCGAGCCGGGCTCAGCATCCCGGGGCCCGGGGCTGATGTCACCGGGCGCAGGCGCCGCCTCTGCGAGGAGGGGCTCGGTGCCGGCAGCTGCAGCCCCCTCCCGCTGCAGATCCCCCCGGACATCACCTGCCTGCGACCCCGGAAGGGTTTAACAGAAAAGCGTGGATGTGGCGCTTGGGGCATGGCTCGCTGGTGGGGCTTGGCAGGGCTGGAGTCGGGCTTAGAGTGCTTTTCCAGCCTAAATTCTGTGATTCTCTGATTGTGGCCTTTCGGTGCTTATGGAAAAAAAAAGGGAAAGTGACTTTTTACACGAGTAGATAGTGATATCTATCTATCTATCTATCTATCTATCTATCTATCTATCTATCTATCTATCTATCTATCTATCTATCATCCATCTATCTGTCTATCTATCTATCTATCTATCTATCTATCTATCTATCTATCTATCTATCTATCGCAAGGGGTTTTGAAATAAAAGAGGAGAGATTTAGATTAGATATTGGGAGGAATTTTTTACCTGTGGAATGGTAGGACACTGGCACAACTTGCCCAGGGAAGCTGTGGATGTCCCAACCCTGGAAGTGYCCAAGGCCAGGCTGGAGGGGCTTGGAGCAGCCTGGGATAGTGGAAGGTGTTTGGAAACACACATTCTTCTCTTCCAACCCAAAACATTCTGCGATCCCACAGCCCTCCCTGTGCATCCTGAGCTGTCCCCTTGGCCCAGGTCCCCCCGCCGTGCCCGAGCTGCTCTGTGGTGTCACTTCCACGGCGGGCAGGGACCCCCACGCTGGTTTTGCAGCACTTCAGGTCACTCTGTGAGCAGGGAGGGGGCACAGGGTGGAGGTAAAGAGGACCAGGCACCGTGGTGGTCACGGTGAGGCTGCGACCACCCCGGCACAGCGTTTTGAACCCGTTTGGTATCAGCAGGGGGCAAATACCCACCGCTCGGTGGGAATTCAGAGCGGCTCTTCTGGGTGGGCTTTGGATTTGCATGATAAAAGAAAGAGCAGGGGCAGCCTGGGCCTCTTTTGTTTTCTTTTTTCCAGGCCAGACGTGCTCAGGGCAGAAATGTTTAAACGCTTTGGGCATTTCTCGGATGTGCTGGGAGGAGCAGCTTAAGTCCTTGGCTCCAAACCCAGGTTGTTGCCAGGTCAGCCTGAGACTTAAATTCGAGTTGATGTTTGGATGTGACAGAGTCGCTCTTAATCCTCTCTGAATCCACTACGAAGGGACAGAGCGAGGAAAGGGACAGGACGGCAGAGAAGGCATCCCAAGTAGCACAGAACTGCGGGAAAACTCGGCACTGAACCGGTGAGGATTTTCCTGATAAATTATTATTAATTGGGGGAAGGACATGGGCTGTTGCAGTGTAGAGCAGCAGAAGGTTTTGCAGCCCGGGGGCAGCAGAATTCAAACCATTCCCTCAGGCTTGTCCTGACTAGCCCAGAGAGCTGAGTTTGCTTTACTTTGCGTTTAGTTTTGCTCTGCTTTGCTTTTCGGGAGGGATTTTCAGAGCAGCAGCGGTCCCCAGCCTTGTCCTGGGGGATCAATCCCATCCCCTGAGTTCTCCTCACGGACTTTGCTCAGCCCTTGGCTGCAGGAGCTCCCCAGGGCCCCTTTATCCAKCCGAGCCYTCTCCTGGGATCTCCAGCTGGCAGGGAAGGGCTCGCTGAGCCTCCGTGGGTCTGTGGGAGCCTGGAGCAGCAGGAGGGAGCTTTGTCTTAGCYGATCAGCAAAAGCAGCTCAAACAATGCCCAACCCTCATCTCCCAGAGCCTCCCAGGGCTCTTTTCCCCCGGGACTGGTGCAGCAGGGATGGGATGGAGCCGGTGCTGGCACTTGGGGACAACGCCAGCCCTGCCACGGCCGAGGCCAGAGGACAAGGGATGGAGTGAGGGCTGCAGAAATTCAGAAATCCTGCCCTCAGCTCCCCAGGGCTTCCAGGTGGAAAAATGCCTGTCTCAAATCCAAATAAAGCTCTTCCTGCAAGGGTGGGAGCAGATGATGCCAGGAACTGCCTGAGTCTGAGCTGGACCCCTGGAGAAGTGGGCATCCTTGGGTTCCTCTCCTCCCAAATCCTGCATCATTTAAAGCCCACCGCTGCTGCCCGAGGGTGGGGACAGACCCCACGGATCTCCTGTCTGCAGAAGGGACAGGATCGCTGCAGAAGGGACAGGATCGCTGCAGCCTCGTGCGGCGTTCGCTCCTTGCCCCCGACTAAACAAACATCCCAGAGTTATCAGGAGCCGCCGAAAGAGCTGAGTCGGCATTAATTAGTAACCGAAAAGATTGGCTGGAAAGGGAATGACGGGAGCAAAATACACAGGCTTTTGTTTGCCTTCTGCAGTGAAAGTGCAGAGGGCTCCTGCCCCCGGCCCTCACCTCTGGTCCCCAGGCACAGAGATGGCACCTGCCCCATCCCGAGCCACCAGGCTTTGTGGCTACCTAGATCTTGATGTTGAGAAAGCTGAAATCCCAAGAAAAATCTCTCCAAAATGGTGCAGTTTTGGGCAAATATAAACCCGGGAGTTTTCCCTGAGCATCGCTGCCCCATCCCGTTTCCTTTGGGTTTTTGTCTTGCCAAGGCCAGGCTGGAGAGCAGCTGGGGGCTTTAACACTGTGAGGATTGTTATGAAATCAGTACGGCAGGACCTCAAAATGCTTCCTGACTCTGGCCTGCTGTTCCTCCCCACTCTTGGAGCAGTGTCCAGTCTTCACCGGGGCTCCTGCAAGCGTGGGGAGCCCCTGTCCCCCCCAAACACCCCAGGGCTGTGGGGCAGGCTGGGTGGGGGATCATCTCTGCCCCTTTTTCCCGGTACTGACCTTGAGCTGTTTGCTCTCTCCCGCCGGGGCAGGCTGAGCAAACAGTGGACGCTGGGGCTTTGCCGCGCTCCGGGGCGCTCAGTCGGAGGAGAGCTGCGCTCCCGAACACCCAGGATGGGGCTGCTCTTCCCTGCCCTCGTGCTGGCCCTGCTTGCCACCACCCATGCTGCAGAAGGTGAGCCTTGGCCATGCCAGGTGCTGTGGGGATGGAGCAGCTGGGGCTCCTGGGTGGGTGGAGGGGCTGGGCAGGATGGGGAGGGGAGGGAGGGGATGGTGGTGATGGTCAGCAGTGGCTGTACCTTGAGGATGGGAGAAAGCAAATGGGCAGCACATGGGGGTTGATGGTGCCTTGGAAAATCCCTGGCCACCCCAGCTTGGAGCTGGGATCATGGCACAGCCCAGTCTGTGGCTCCCATCCCAGCAGGACCGGGGTGGGAGCAGGGCCAGGAGCCACTGTAAACCCTGGTGATGGAGCTGACTGTGAAAATGTGGGGTACCCCCAACCAGGACACCCCCAAGTTCATTTCCATCCCTTGGAGCTGGGCTGGGGGGAGGCGAGGGCCCCACTGCCTGCCCCACATGACCCCTCCTGAGCCATGGGGTGGCTGTTGCAGACTCGTGTGAGGGCCGCTGTGAGGAAGGCTTCGACGCAGGGCGCAAGTGCCAGTGCGACACCCTGTGCGTGTACTACCAGAGCTGCTGCAGTGACTACTCCACCGTCTGCAAAGCCAAAGGTACTGTCCCCACGGCCACCCTGCTGGCCAGGGCTCTGCACAGGCTGCCCCAACACCGTGGGGCTCCAAGGATCTGTGCTGGGTCAGCTCTGCACCCACCCGTGTTTGCAGAGTGGATCAGCACCGGGGTTTGCTGCAGCACGTGGGGGTTTTGGGAGCTGGCTCACAGCATCTGCAGCGTGGGATCTGGGCTAATTGGATGGACTGGGGAAAATGCCTTCACTGGAAAGGTGGTTGGGCATGGGAGCAGTGGAATCACCATCCCTGGRAAGTGCTCYAAAAATGTGCAGTTGTGGCACTTGGGGACACGGTTTAGTGCTGGCGGTGCTGGGTTAAATYAGACTYGGTGATCTTAGAGGGCTTTTCCAACCTCAACAATTCCATGATTCCATGAACCTGTACTGCCTGGGAGGGAGCACCTCCTGCCCTCAACCCCAGTGGGACCTTCTCCCTCCCTCAGTGACCCGGGGAGATGTTTTTGCCCTGCCCGAGGACGACTACCTGGACTACAACCTCACTGTCGACATTGCCACGGAGGAGGCGCCCGTGGCAGACCCCACAGAGCTGCCCACGCCCCCGGTGCTGGTGGACACCACACCAGAGAGCAAGCCAAACCCTGAGGAGACGCTGCCAGAGCTGCCCAAACCCACCCCGGATGGGTCTGAGGAGCCAGAGGAGCTGTGCAGTGGGAAACCTTTTGACGCCTTCACCGACCTGAAGAACGGTTCCCTTTACGCTTTCCGAGGTACTTTTGGGACCTTCCCCGGGCACGTGGGACACACTGCCCTRCTGTCCCCCCATCTGCAGTCCCTGCTGCTTCTCCTACATCCCCTCTCTCCCCAGGGAAGTATTTTTATGAGCTGGACAAGACCAGCGTGAGGCCCGGCTACCCCAAGCTCATCAGCGATGTCTGGGGCATCGAGGGCCCCATCGAYGCAGCCTTCACACGCATCAACTGCCAGGGCAAGACTTACCTCTTCAAGGTGGGCTGCAGGGCTGGGGGTACGCCCAGAGTGGCCAGCACAGCCCCCCAACCTGCCCTATATCCCCTTCTGGCACTTTCTATGCAACAGTGTTTGCCAGATGCCCCTAAATCCCTGTAGCTGTTTGGGGTCTCTCTGCTCACTCCTCCCAGACTCGTGGCTGGGGGATGCTGCACCCGTGACCCCCCTCTGTCCCCCACCCCCCAGGGCACCCAGTACTGGCGCTTTGATGACGGAGCCCTGGACCCCGGCTACCCACGGGACATCTCCGAGGGCTTCGAGGGCATCCCGGACAACGTGGACGCGGCGTTCGCCCTCCCCGCGCACAGCTACCACGGCAACGAGAGGGTTTATTTCTTCAAGGGTAAGGGGGGCAGCCCCCCAGCKCCTGGCAGAGCCTGGCACCGCTGGGCACAGGCAGGACACCCCTYGGGTGTTTGTCCCCCACTAAAACCCCGCTCGTCCTCTCCCAGACAAGTACTACTGGTCCTACGACTTTGCCCAGCAGCCCACGCAGGCCGACTGCGAGAAGTCCTCGCCCTCYACGGTGTTCAAACACTACGCCTTCATGAACAGGGACAGCTGGGAGGATGTTTTCCAGCTCCTCTTCGGCAGCAGGATGCGTAAGGGCCGGGCCAGCCTAGGGGGAAGCGGGCACCGGGGAGGAGGGAGCGATGCCTGGGAGCACGGGCAGGCAGGATGAGCTGTGGTGTCCTGCATCCCCCACAGCATCCCAAATCCCCACCCTCACACCCTACTGAGCCCATCACCAGCCACCTCACACCCTAGTGGCACTGCTGGGGACTGTTTATTATYGCTGGAGATGCCACAGGAAAACCCCAGCCCTGGGCAGGGGTGATGAAAGATGGAGAGGGGGACAAAGTGGCTCAGCAGGACAGGGCTGATCCCAGCCAAGAGTGGGGTGTGGGCTGCTCCTGGCTCTGCCTGTGGCACTGTCACACATCTAATCCAGGCTGGGATCCTTTGGAGCATTCCTGGGGGTCTGGGGGCTGTCTGTGGGGCTGGGCTCACTCACCCCACACTTTGCTGCCCCTCTCACTCATCCCCCGCTCCTCCTGCAGCCGGGGCGAACGGCCCRTGGTACATCAGCCGGGACTGGCGGGGGGTGCCCGGCCGGCTGGACGCCGCCATGGCCGGCAGGATCTACGTGGCCTCGCACCAGCCCCGCAGGAGGAARTCTCGCCGCCAGCGCAAGAGGTACAACCACAACCACCGCTCACTGAATTTGGGATTCTGGAGCTGGCTGCACAACGACCACGACTCGGCAGGGGTTGAAAGCGACGGGCTGTCGGGCTCCACGTGTGAGATGCTCCAGAGCGTCTACTTCTTTGTGGGAGGTGAGTCTGGYGTGGCAGGATCCGGGAATGATGTGGGACCAGGGCTGCCAGGGCACTGGGAGAGCTCTCTTTGTGACATCCCCGAGCTCTGGGATGCAGCAGGAAGACACCCAGGGCTGGCAGTGAGAGCCAGCAGGTCCCCAGAGCTGGGGACAGTCGTGACAGCCACATCCTTTTCCCTCCAGACAAGTACTACCGCGTCAACCTGCGCACCAAGCGCGTGGACCTGGTGCGGCCGCGCTACCCCCGCTCCATCGCCCAGTACTGGCTGGACTGCCCCCAGCCCGGGGAGGAGAGCACCTGATGGACCCYGGAGCCGCCGGGGTGGCAGCACAGCCCCGGCCAGACAGAAATAAACTGTGAGAGGCGAGCAGGCCGGAGAGCTCCATGTGTGTGTGTCCATCCGTCCGACTGTCCGTCCCACGTGCCGCGCGGTCCTTGCGGTCCGAGCTGCCGTGTCCCCGCTGGCTGTGGCTGTCCCCATGGTCTGTGCCAGACCCCCAATGCTGGCACCRTCCATGGCGTGGCTGTGGTCACTCAGATCTGCTCCGCCAGCCAGTCCAGCGCCTCTTCCCACGGGAGGAGAGGGACGGTGCCAGCAGCTGCTGGTGAGGAACACCGGGGTCAGGTGTCCATCTCCCCCAGGGTCAGCCCACAGCCTCACGTGTGGGTGGCCGTGCTGGGGATGGGTGCCCATCCCCGAGGGATCCCACCCAAGGCCCTGCCTGGCCTCCTGCCCCTGCCCCGCTGACCTCTGGGCTCCGGCAATCCCGGCCAGGGCGGTGCCGAAGGGATGACCCTTCCCTCGGGGCTGGGAGCGCGCTCCGGGCCCGGCAGCTCCCGGTGCAGCGGCTGCTGCTGGGACAGGCTCCTGCTCCTGCCGCGACTCCTGCCGTGAGGACACATGACAAACCCCGACATGACAAACCACCAACCCCCCAAAACTCCAGGGAGTTCCTGARCAGCAGCRGATGCCCGGGGAGTGGCTCTCACCRCTTCCTCTGGTGTGCCTGGTGGGAGCCAGGCAGAGCCGTGTCCTCCTGTCCGGGTGGCAGAACAGCAGCACTGCCCTCGGGGGGGACCGGCAGCACCTGGGGGCGAGCAGAGTGGTCAAGGTGGCTGTGCCACCCGGTGCCACCCCCTCCAAAGAGACCCCCGGGGCTGTACCTGGGACGTGCTGGCATCAGCTGGGCAGCACCGCGGGCACCCTGGGCAGCGGGGGCGGCTGGAGGCAGGAGGGAGCTTCTGCAAGAGAGGGCATTAGTGGGTGAGGGGTTCATGCATCAAACAGGGGAGCTGCAGACCCCAGACCCCCCACGCTCACCGGCAGCCGGGGCACAGAGCTGGGTGTCGTGTCCGGCCGCTGGTGCCTGGCCGAGTGGCCGTGGTGTCCGTGGTGGTTGCGGGCACTCCGGAGCAGGGGCTGGCTGTCACAGGAGCTGCGGGTGGCTCTGTGGGTGTCACCAGCGGGGTCTGGGGACACACGGGGCTGYCTGGGGAGCAGTGAGGAGCAGAGCAGGGCATTGGCAGCCTCTGGAGAGCCTCGGAGCCCTGCCCAGCCCCACGGAGTCCCTGAGAGAGGCTGGCTGTGCAGGGTGCTGCCCAGCCAGGGGCTCTGGCTGCCCTCTGAGCCCCCTGATCCTCTGCTCAGGGGTCCCACACAGGCYCCCCATACCTCATCTGCTCGTTCTCCACCACGAAGTCCCTCAAGAGGCCGTAGAGGCTGGGCCAGGCTGGGGTTCCCTCTGGTGGGAGCTGCCCTGCGGGGCCGTACCTGCCTCCCGCGCCCAACCACGCTTTTGGAGGGTTCCCTGGCACCTCCGTGCTCCTCACTGGCACCCTGGGCAGGCACAGCTGCTGCCGCAGGGACAGGTTTTCCAGCTGCAGAGCATGGATTTCTTGCTCCAAGGTTTGCAGCAACTTCTCCCGGGACACCTGAGAGGAKTGGGTGGTTAAAGTGGGGGTCAGGGGGTCCCGGCAGCGGGGCAGAGGAGCTCGGAGTGGCTCCRTGTCTGCCATACCCTGTTGGCCAGCGGTCTGGTGGTGACCCTCCGGGCACGGCTGGCGTAATGCAGTGTGCTYAGCGTCTCTGAGAGGCAGTGTGAGGACGGGGAGATGCAGGCAACCTGGCAACGAGGAGGAAATGCAGGAGAACTCTCACTCAGAGGGTCGCTATCCTTTTCCAGCCCTCCCCTCCGCGGGGTGAGACCCCTGCCCAGCCTCCCTCGTACCATCAGGGTGACGCCTGAGCCACCCAGGGAGCGGGCCAGCAGCCTGGTGAGTTTGCTGTCCCGGAACGGGATGTGTGTTCTCTTGCCTCGGGGTTTGGCCAGCAGCGAGATGCAGTGTCCTGCAGGAGGATGAGCCACAAAGGGTGTGACAGGGCTCTGCTGAGGGCCAGCAGGGCTCCCAGGGCGGGTCCCCCAGCTCTCACCCAGTGCCAGGAGGCTGCGGTTGATGCTGTTGGCCTCCACGGAGAGCTCCCCGCTCGAGCCGGTCTCCTTCACCCGCTCGCTGCCGGCCAGGTCCACGAAGCACAGTGTGCCCTGCCTGCTCGGGCAGGCACTGGCCTGGAGAGCCCACGATGGGGTGGGGGATGATGCTTTGGTCCCCGTCGCCCCTTCCCCGTGGGTCTCAGAGAGGCCTTCCTGCCGCTCACCCCAACCCCACCCATGATCCTTGAGGAGAGCATGACCCCCCGTGCGTGGGGCTGTTCGCACCCCCACGCTGAGCCCCGGGACCCCCCAGCCCTCCCCCGGAGCAGGGTGTGCGCTCACGGCTCGGCTGCGGATGTGGATGGTCAGCAGGGCATGGCTGCGGCTCGAGTGCCTGTTGAGGGCATGTGCTGAGGTCCGGCGCCTCTGGGAACCTGCAAGGGACGAGCTGATTGCACGACACCCCACATGGCTGCCCCACATCCCACAGCATCCACTGCCCATCCAGCTGCTCCTTCTGGCTGCCATCAGAGTCCCGCCAGCCCTGGGGATGATCTGCGGGGCTGAATCCCCCCACACCGGGTCTAGCACCCCCTGAACACGCCCCATCCCTGTGCCTGTGTCTCAGCACCTTGCAGGAGGAGGCTGACGATGGCCTCCAGGCTCTCGAATTCCACGCTGAGCTGGTTCTCCACGTAGAAGCCGCGGGTTTTGCTCCAGCGCAGGGGCAGGGCACACGGCGGCCCCGGGCTCAGCAGATCCCGGATCTGGGGATGTGACAAAGGAAAAGCACCGGGGGAGTGGGGCACAGGGCGCCAGCAGGGCCGGACGGGGTGGCTGAGCAGGCACTCACCTGTTCGTTGTAGATCTCCAGGTAGGAAGCGCTGAGAGCCAGGTCAGAGCCACGGCTCCGGCTCTGCTCCAGCAGGCAGGTGAAGGATCTCTGCATCAGCCCCAGCAGAGCCGGSGACGCCGGCCGGGTCTCGCTCTGTGGGATGCCAGAATGGCGAGCGGGCACATCGGGCACCCACCTGCTCCCAGAGCCCTGGGAAGGGTGGAAAGAGCCCATCCCACGACCCGGATCAAGTCAGGGGGACAGCGCTGTACCTGGGCGAGGGGTCCCATGAGGGTGTAGGTCTTCCCTGAACCCGTCTGCCCGAAGGCAAACACGGTGCAGGAGAAGCTGCGGAAGATGCTGAGCGTCAGGCACAGCCGCAGGTGGTGGCACAGGGATGCCACCTCCTGACACAGTCCTGGCAGTGCAAACTCGCCGGAAAGGCCCGGCCTGGGGCCGCCGGAGGGTTGGGGTCCGCGGGGGCTCGCCAGGACTCACCCGTCCMTGGCCAGCTCCACCAGCTGCCTCATCCCGCTGCCTTCGAACACGGCCTCCTGCGAGGCACCGGCGTCGAACACGGCGCTGAAGCCGAAGGTGGCATCGTGCCTGGCCGCGCTTACCTGGCCGTGGGGACAGCGGCAGCTCAGGGGGTGCCGCGGCCACCCCGACACCCGCGGGAAGGTGGCACTTACGTGCACGGCGCAGTCACCGAGGCTGTGCACAACTTGCCGGTCACCCCGCCGCGCCTCCGTGGAGGTCAGTGGCCGGACCCTAATGGTGGGGGGTAGAGAGGGACACAGAGGTGTGGCTGCATGGGGACCCTGGGGAGCCCTGCCGTGCCCTGCCCCAGGCAGAGAGGCTCCCGCCGCGTCCCTGAGCTCTTTGTGCCTCCCCTTACCTTAGCACCACTCTCAGGCGTGTCTCTCTGCTCTCCACGGGGCCCTCCCGCTCCTCTCCAAGGCTCCTTTGGGGAACAGAGGGCAGCAGGATGGTGGGTGCCCCCCAGCTGGGGGGTCTGCCCGCGGGGACCCCAAAAGCTGGGGTAGAGGGAGCCCAGGYCATGCTGTGCTCGCACCGTCCTCCCACCTGCACCGTGCCCTGAGGCCTGGCAGGGGACAGAGCTCACTGTCCCCGCCGTGTCCCCGCAGAAGGACAGTCCTGTCCAGTCCCACCCCCCCAGCCTTTTTGGGGTGCTACCCCCCCACCACCTGCACCAGTCGGGCAGTCACTGCCCAGTCCTGCTACTCCAGGACGGGGGGGCCTCTGTCCCCTCTCTCTCCCCAACAACTTACGGTCTCTCCCGGCCCCGTGGGAGCGTTCTGGGCCGGGGGTCAGGCTGGGGGTCACCGCCCCGCTCCCCCTCTGGTTCCATGCGCCCCCCAGCACTCCGTGCTCGGGGTGCCCGCAGCGCCCGGCCGGTCCCAGCAGGAGGCACCGCCAGCCGGCCCCGGCTGCCCCGCACAACCGGTACCACCGCTCCGGTTAAACATTGACCGCTGCCAGCCCCGTGGGAGAGCGGCGGTCGCACGGCGGGGGGCGAGCTGGGGGAGGGCGGGGAGCCGGGGAGAGGGTGCAGGGGGCGGGTGGCAGGTGGGTCTTCGGGTCCTGGGATCCTCATGGGCCCCACCGTGCCTCGACGGCGGCGCGGGGGAGGCTTGTACCAGCAGCTGGTGGGGGTACTGGTCCTGGGGATGCTGGGGGAGACCCTCCCCGAGTCAGTCGGGGACTGTCGGGGCTGTCGGGGGTGCGGAGCTGGGACCGGCCCCGGGAGCCCTTGGGAAGGGCTGGGGGGGGGGGACAGCACCGCCCGCTCGGGGCGGTCCCAGCCTGCCGGGGGAGACTCTGGGGGATAAAAGCCAGGCCGGCGGCGGGGCCGCAGGCGCCGGGCAGGATGAGCGCGGCCCCGGGCACCTCCCGCGCCCCCCAGCCGCTGCTCCGCTTCCCCGACGGGGCGGGCGGGCCGGGCGGCGAGCGGGCGGCGGGGGGAGGCGGCGGCCCGGGCCCGTGCCCCTGCCCTTGCCCTTGCCCCTGCCCGGGGGGGCCGCGGAAGCGGCGGCGGACCACGTTCAGCCGGGGGCAGCTATCGGAGCTGGAGCGGGCTTTCGCCGCCGTGCCCTACCCGGACATCGCTACCCGGGAGCGCCTRGCAGAGCTCACCCAGCTGCCCGAGGCCAAGATCCAGGTGAGCGCCGGCGGGATTCTCTCCTCCATCCCTCCCTCTTTGCCTCCCGAGGCCGGGGTCCCCTCTCCTGTCGGGCCACTGTCGGTGTCTCACGGTTCCCCTCGCCCGTGCCAGGTGTGGTTCCAGAACCGYCGYGCCCGCAGGATCCGCAGCRCCAAGCCGGAGCCGCCGCCGCTACCGCCGCTGCCACCGCCCGGGGAGCCGGGTCCCCCCGCGGCACCCCCCGACAGCGGCATCCCGGGCCCGGCCCCTGCTCTGCCGCCGCCGGGATCCCACAGCCCCGCTCGGGGCCTCCCCACCTCGCTGGGCTCCATCTCCGACCTCATCTACAGCGCGGCCATCACCAACCTGGGCGAGCCATAGCCGTGGCAAGGACCCCTGGGTCCCGGGGACCCTCCTGGCACCGCGGCCCCCCCCCGGATTAGCGCCACGATTTCATTAGGGTGTGGAATTACTGCTGGTCCCGAAGGCTCCGAGGATGTCATCCAATATCCTAAATGCCAGTGCGGCCGCAGTGGGGGCAGGTCCCCATCAGCCCCCTAATACCGACTAATCTTTTGGAAAAAATACCTTAATCTGAGGCCGTATCCAGGGATGATTGTGGCGCAGCCGCCCCTAATCCGCAGGCACGTTCACAGGTGCCGGCAGATCTCCCTGGATCGGATATTAAACCGTGTTTCCAGAGGGGCTTAGCTGCCATCAGAGCATTAATCACTGTGTCCCRCCCTGGCAGAGCGCCCACCCGGCAGGTGTCCGGGTCTGCAGGGTCTGGCGTGGGTGTCCCCTCCCCACTGTGGGTGCACCCAGCTGGCTCTGCTCTCTGCTCCATGCCACCTGAGAAACCTCTGGGCCCAGTGTTGAGGGGTGTCCCCTCCCTACCTCGAGAATTTGGGCACCCTTTGGGAGCACACRCATCCCTCACTGTGCAGGCAGAGGAAGGTTTGGACAGGAGATGGAACAGGATGCAGAGGGACAGGGAAGATTCACATCTCTGCCATGTCTTAGATGTCACATCCATGTTTCTCACAGCAACAGCCATCTCCCAACACACAGGAGGGAGGTTACAAACACACAGTGTTATTTATTTCCAGAATAAAAGGACCCAGGAGAACAGGGGTGGCAGGAGCTGATGCCCCTCTCCCTGCTGGGGTGGACAGAGTCCACAGCTGTTCCCTCCTCTGTTCTGCAGCTGCGGGATTTTCAAGCCATGATTCATTTCAGGAGCAGGGAGCAAAGGATGAACCTGAGGAGTGCAGCAATCTTCCCACAGCACAAACAGGTACAGAGAGGAGAAGATCTGTCCCAAATTAGCAGCTCATGGGGAGGACAAAAGCCTCCAACACAAAGCCTGCAGTTCATGGTCATAGTTTCCCAAGGTCCCCTTCGAGGGTCCGCACCATCACGTACAGCTCAGCCAAGCCCACCACCGAGGCCACAATGACRGCTGAGAGGACACGCTGGGGACACAAAAGAGAGAAGGGTGACCCTGAGTGCCTGGCCTGGCCACCATGGAGGGGCTGTCAGGGGCCAGGCTCGCTCACCGCTGCTGTCTCTGCGAAGACGTACTGGCTGCCCAGGTACGTGCAGGCGAAGGCGGCCACCACGGTGACAATGAAGTTGAAGATGGTGATGACGACGGCTTTCATGGAGCGAACTGGCAGAGAGAAGGGGGAAAGTGGTTGATTTTAGGTAAGGTTGGGCAGTAGGGCTGGAGACAAGGTATTGTGCTACAGAGCTGGCCTGGGGCTGCCTCAGCTGGGATTTGTAATCCTGGAGGAGTCACATGCTTGGTGCCTCCAGAAATATTGGTAATAATGACCAACAGGTTCCTTTATTGAAGGAACTCTTCAGTGTGTGAAAACTTTCTGGTGAGATATTTGGAGATGGATGTCTAATGTCACCAGCTGGAGATGGAACAGTCCCCATGCCTGCCTGACCTGCCACGTGTCAAAAGGACAGGAAGCCACTCACCTTGCCTCCCAAATTCAGCCAATGGCCCGTTCATCTCCTGAAAGAAGGGATTGAAACAACTTGTGATTGCTTGTACCTCAATGTTAATAATAACACTGTTACTGTGTGTGCAGAATAAAAGCAATGCCAATGCCCTGTCCTGTCTCCAAGACTCTTGAGATTCAAAAATATTTTGGGGGGCCCTGGMACTGGGTGGATGGGCTGTGGGTTTCTTTGAGATTTTGCACAAGTTCTGCTAAAACCACCCTGGATCGTAGATCACAGAATGRTTTGGCCTGGAAAGGACCTTAAAGATCATCTTGTTTCATCCCCTGCCAGGAGCAAGGACAGCCTTCCACTAGACCAGGTCAAACCTGGAGTGAGAGTTAATGCAACAGGAGGAAATGGATGGCTCACATGGATGCCAGGTAGAGTGTGGTGGGATCACAAAGAATCCAGCAGGAAGGGATGTTGACTTGTCCGAACAATCATCCTGCCAAAAGATCTCAGCTCCCTCAGGAAAGAACGAGTGCCCAAACATTATCTTGTATTTGCTGCTTTTACCTTGACATRAATGAGGTAATTTTAAAGCTATGACAAAAATTCAACCAGAACAGATGCCCCCAGTCAAACATTTACAGCATTTGCTCAGTCTCCCAGAACAGAAGCTGAGATCTTTGGCACAGTGAGCAGCTCCCAAAAGTCAGTATGTCTAATTCACTACTGTTAACCCTGTCCCATCTCTGCCCTCAACACTGGACCTATGCGTTTATAGGATGTTATCCTCCAGTCCCTGCCACATCCCCTCTGCACTGCACTCATTCTAAGGGGAARATGTCCTTTGCTGTCAGGTGTTTGAGGGATGAATGCTGGCAGCAGGCACTGCAGCAGCCCCTCACCTGGCCGGTGATGTTGCGGGTCATCCGTTGGTACTCCTGGTGTGCCAGCTTGGCCTTGATCCGCTCCAGCCGGGCCACCAGCTCGGGGTTCTGGGGGAGGCACAGACCCACCGTGAGGGCCGGSAGCCGCGACTCCTCCCGCGACTCCAGCCCGGCCCTCACCTACCCGCGGCGGCACCGGCACCTCGGGAAAGTGGATCTCGCATCCTTCCAGCAGCTCGTGTAGGTGCAGYGGGGACCCTGCGGGCGGGGCACGGGGCGGTCACGGCGCGATCGCGGCGTCCCGCGGCGCCCCGGAGCAGCGCGGCCTACCTGCCTCCCTCAGCGCGGCGTGCAGCCTCCGCAGCAGGCTGAACGGCACCAGCCCTCCCTCCGCCGCCAGCGCCGCCTCCAGCTCATCCCGCAGCCCGGCGGGCAGCGCTGCCAGCTCGTCCGCCCGCACCGCCCGCCGCAGCCGCGGCCCGGCCCGCA